GCTACTTTCTCCATCTCTTACTTGGCTAAAGTCTGTCCTCTAGCATTTTGTCTTTCAGATTTGGGGTTGTGAGATCCATTCATGGGGCTGTGAAGTATGTTTAGTCAGTCATCACTAGCTTGTCTTAAGATATGAGATACCAAAGAATGGAATAGAAGAAAAAGAACAGTGTAATAGTAAATACTTCTTGGAAGTCCTTTCAGCATAGGTGTTGATTTCTACTGAGTTTCAATGTAATATGGAAAGTACATACAATTGTGGTGACAGTAAAAATAAAAGGGTTGGAAAACAGGGCTCTGTACCATCTTAAAGGAGGGCTCATTGGAGTTAGAATCCCTGACTTTACCACGTGTATGAAGTATTTGCTGCATCTCTAATTTAAATGTTCTGGTTATAAAATGCTTGGGTCACACTTTCTTTCACTCAGTATGCTGTAAGCTTTGCCCTTCATTGTTTATTCATAGGGAGACATCCAAGGCCAAGTTAGAAGTAACTTGATCTTCTTTCCTGGATGCCTGAAGGACTCTTTCTTTATTATGAAGGCACGTAGTTTTTCCTGGGGTATTTTGTACACTTTGGGTCCCTAGCTCGAAGTCTTTTATTTCTGGAGGTTACCTGAATGATAGCTTTGAAGTTTTTGTTTTGTTTTTGGTTTGTTTGTTTTATTTTTGGTTGGAGTTTCCTCTTTTTAAGTATCTATCATGTGTGTGTTTTATCTGGCCTTTGTGTTATAAAGCTATTTTCTCCTTGATCCTTTTAATTCTTTATAAATTCCTAATTATGCTTGCTTTCTCAATCCTGTCCTCCATGTCTCATCCTGTTTGTTTCCAGCCATGGCTCAGTCACTTTGGGCTGCATCTCTACCACTGTCATTTCTGTGATTCTTTTTTTTTTTTTAAGATTTATTTATTTATATGACAGACAGAGATCACAATTAGGCAGAGAGGCAGGCAGGGAGAGAGAGAGAGGAGGAGGCAGGCTTCTGGCTGAGCAGAGAGCCCAATGCGGGGCTCGATCCCAGGACCCTGGAATCATGACCTGAGCTGAAGGCAGAGGCTTTAACCCACTGAACCACCCAGGCACCCCCTGTGATTCTTTTATAGTCTCCTTCCCTTCACTTCTGGCCGGAGGCAACTCCTGGTTCATCATTTTGTGTTGCTGTGCCATATTTCCAAACTCCCAAACTTCTGTTGTCCTCAGGTTGATTGTTCTATGTTTGCTTTGAATGTATTGCATTATCTATTTTGTATAATTTTCATCTGTTCATTGTTTTGGGGGTTTTGTGTTTTTTTTTGTTTGTTTGCTTTTTTGCCGTATGTTTATCTTCTTCCTTTTCCTCACTTTTTTTGGGTGTATTTGACAGATCGTGTACTAATACATTGTTTTTTGTTGTTGTTGTTATTCCGACTACTCAACTTGGAGTTGAGTTTTTCCTGGACCATATATTTAGGGTAGTGCTGGCCAGGGCACTGTTTCAGGCTAAGGGGAATTCTCTCCTTAACATAGAAACTCCTTATGACCCAGAGAAAGAATGTGTGTGTGTGTGTGTGTGTGTGTGTGTGTGTGTGTGTGTGTGTACACACGCGCGCGCACACGCAAGAGAGAGAAATTGAAAATGCGTGTTCACTTAGCCTGTTCTCGTCGCTAGCCTGCAGAGATGGGCAGTCACTTGCGTTTCTGTATTTCTCTTCTCCAAGGGCTTCATCACTGTGCATTCTTCAGGCAGAGATGGTGATTCTGGTCGGTTCCTCACTGACATGCCTTAGAATTCACCAGTTAGTTGGAAACCTATGCTCTCCCACAATGGCCGAGCTCTCCCGTAGCTCTCCCTGCTCTGGCTTACTCTAGCCCCACTGGATCCAGCGTCATATGGTAGCCCATCACGATATCTTGCCATTTGGGATTTCCGAGGACGCCTGAGTTCATCAGAGATGGGCTGCTTTCTCGTCTGGCAGCACCCTTGCTGCCTGGTGTGATTTCTGAGAGGATAAGGGGAAGGGGTGTCCACTTCCATGATCGTTAAAGAGGTCTTCTGTGGCTCTCCAGTACTCTTTTTTTTTTTTTTTTTAAAGAATTTATTTATTTGACAGAGAGTGAGAGAAGGAGAGAGAGCACAAGCAGGGGGAGCAGCAGAGGGAGAGGGGGAAGCAGGCTCCCCGCTGAGCAGAGAGCCCGATGCGGGGCTCAATCCCAGGACCCTGAGATCATGACCTGAGCCGAAGGCAGAGGCTTAACCCACTGAGCCACCCAGGTGCCCCTCTCCAGTACTCTTGAACCTTGCCGACATGCCTGCCAGCGTGTACCCCGGAGTTAGACCTGGTGTGAAGACGAGTTGGAGAGTTCCTGGCCCGGAGCCGGGCCTGGGCAGTGTCATGAGAATGAACCACAGGGTCTGGAGCCAGAACTGAGCTGAACTGCAGCCTTCTGGAGGCGACGGCAGTAAAGCTCCGTTGCTGGCCTTCGTCCGCGCCCGGGGAAGCTTTTATCGCTCTGTTGCTTTTAGTGGGATCTGATTCCGAGGTCCTTGCTTCATTGACCCTTGGGAGTCACACACTCAGCTTTGTCTCAGCCTCCATCCGAGGGACTGTAATGACGCAAACCCAAGAGAAGGAGGGGAGAAGGGACAAGAAACCCAGTCCTCCCTGGTCTTGCCGTCCTCCTGTCCTGACTTCAAACTCTTAAGGGCATCGTTTCCTTGATGTATCACAACTCTTTGGAGCTGGCATTATTACTGCCCCTTTGGACAAATGGAGAAACTGAGACAGAAGAGCCTACGGAAGGGGGCAGTCAGCGTCAGGGCTGCACCTTGTGTCATTTTTCACACCTCTCTGCCTCCCCAGTGACTCTGTTCCCTGAACTGGAGGCGTCCCAGCTGTTTTGTTTTCCTCACTCAAGTGTGGTGATGCTGCTCTCTTCCACGGACCAGGGGTGGGGGGTTTGGGGGGGCCCTGCTCAGAGCGGCCTCGTCATCACACCTGCCACTTAACCGTGGCGTGTCTTTCATCAGCCGTTGGTAGCCGGTAATTAGTCCCTGGGAGGTAAGTCGCTGTCTCACTTCGCGGGTGAGGCAGCCCCTACGGAGAGGGCAGGAGCGATTTTTTTTTTCCAGGATCAGCAGTGAGTCCCAGGGAGAGAGCGTAGACGTGGGCCTCCCCATCCCGGGCTCAGCCTGCGGCCAGGGAACCCTTTCTCCTACTGCCTCCATCACCCACCTGGGGGAGAGGATCTTTCCCTGTCACCGCTCTCATCGGAGTATACTCCCAAACACAGCAACACAGGAGGAAATGAAGGTCGAGTCAAGGATTTAACAACACGGGAAACTCTGCTTTCAGGGTTCAGTTTCAGGTTTTTCAGACCACGAGGCTAAGAATGTTTCAACGAAGCCTTGCTAATAATGTTTTCTGCACATTAAATGACGTTGAGCGGGTTATGGGGAAAGGCATCAGCTTACTTGGGAGAGGACCGTCAAACAGTAGAAAATGAGGATGTATTTTTCTCTTATTGGCTGATTTGAGTTTTAACAAGAAATAGCCGTTTCGGAGTACATACATAGATCACCGTACAAAATATGAACTGCTTTGCATTTGCCAAAAAAAGATAAAAAATCACCCCCCCAAAGGTGTTATTTTGAAATATTTGCATGATAATGGAAATAGCCTCTGATGTCACCCAGTGCGGTCCAAACATTCTTGGAGAAGTCCTTATTTTTCTCCTTAAGTGACATTTTAATATATAATATTTCAAAGGTAATGTTATTTTTGGAGTAGCAAGTATGCAAGCAGCAAGAGAAAAAGAAAGTACACTTAATCTGCAGGTAGGTGTCCCAGCAATTTTCTTTTTTGTATGGGCAGCCCATTATCTCCCATGATAACTTCGTTGACAACACCCACAAATGTATTCGGAGCCTGGTTTTGTAAGATAGATCCAGGATCGTGCGACTAAGAGACCCAGATCATGACACGTGTCAACCTTCAGATAGATGGTACATTTTCTGTTTTAAAGACTCAAACAAAACTTTTCACATTCTTCTTTGGGGGGAAAAAAATTACATTTGAAGCCCTTTTTCACCCAAACCCATTTTAAGATAAGAGCTCACAAGTCTTGACATTATTCCATTTTGTTATGCGCACCTGTCAAGGAACTGAGATAGGATACAGCTACTAAAAACTGATGATTGCGGAACAGAGAAAGCTGACAGCATTTCATTCCCTTTATGTTCTGATTATACATTTATCAGAAAACCTGTATCTCTTCTAGTTCAGCTAGAAATTGGTAGAATTCAAGAACTCAAAGGCTTGGCAAAGAACTGTCCTATTATTTGGTATCATCTTACATTTTAGAGAAGTTGCTTGGTTGAGTCATTGTTAAAGCTCTTGCTTCTCTTTTCATTATTGTGGCCCACTATCCACAGATCACATTTCTATAGGGCCCTGTAACTGCTCTGCCGCGCAAATTAAACGCCTGGAGATTTCATACATATACGCCAGCGTTTCAATGCTTGTCAGTCAGAGTTTATAAAATATAGGGATTACAACCTGATATTAACATCCAAATCTATTGTGCTCATTTTATATGTGAAAATGAGAAACCCTCGTACCGACACTAGATTCCCCGGCCTCTTTGTCACCCTGTTTTTAATTTATCTTCAGGTTTTGTGTCAGTAAAATGATTTTGCTTTATCAATTTAATGTAGTGATAAAACGTATCTGTGAATCAGAATGATCAGAAGCAAAAGGGGAGCTACAGGTTGTTTGGCATTAAGCCCAGCTCCGCTGAGGAGTTTAATCGGCTGCTTCCTTCATTGAAGGGAACACGTCCCTGTTTTGGTTTTTGTTTGTTTTGTTTTTTGTTTTTAGTTTTTTTAATTATACCTCCACCAGCGGTGGGATGCCCTTCACGTGAAGACGTGGGCATAGACATGCCTCACCTTGGGGAGGAGGACTTGGAAACTTTTAAACATGTTCTTTTTACACCTGTCGTTCTTCTTCTTTTTTTTCCAGGAGTATTTCAAAAGGAATTACCCAGATATTACTCACAGAGACCACGTGGTCATGAATGCTTCCAATGGACAGCCCTCAGCCTTCACTATTTTTGAGACAGCACTGTGATCCTACCCCAACATCAAGTCTGTTCCAAAGGCATTTTTGTATAGTTTCTGCACTGTGTAACTATATATTGTACTTTTTACACTAGCAAAAGATATTTTACACACACAAGATGTTTGGAGTTTTTCTCCGACTTCACTTGGTGATTTCAAGCTCGAGCAGAATGATGTACTATTTTTTTATTTATATATTATAGTGTTTTTTTTTTTTTTTCCTTATCCAAATCACAGGTGCAGGACACCAGTAAAAGCTGTTAACCAGGTCTGGTGCCTTAAAGAGACGTCAGAGCCAAACCTCATTTTGTTAGGTATAAGACAAAGTTGTCACAGACTTTTCTTTTTCTTTTTTTACTGCCCTCCCAAATTACATATTACTTTCCAGTGATATCAGGGATTCTATTTACTTGAAGACTGTGTGAAGTTGCCATTTTGTCTGGCCACTTCCTTTAATATCACGGGGATCCATTATTTCTCCCCAGAGGCCTCTGGTTGAAATCGTACAGATACAACTAATAGGAAAAACTGAAAATACACTTTAAGGGACATTAGAGTGAGCCCCCCCAAAAGGATATATGCTTGACACACAGGAGAGCGGTGTTTAATGACACGTGCTGAAAGACAAGGAAGAGAACCTCATGCCTCTTCACCATCGGAGCCCATGTGGGTGACTTGATCACGAAGGACACACATGTGACCATCGGTCACGTTCTGGATGTGCACACCTCCACCACGGGCACCACTGCTGTCCCAGGGCTCAGCATGGTGACGTTTTCCGAAAAGACCCAACCACTAGCTATAATTCTGGACCACAGAGCAGTCTTCTTATCTGGATTTCTGGCTCTCTACCCCCTATCCGTCTGTTGACTAAAAGCCTTTTTGATTTAGCCTTTCTTGCCATCCCTGCTACGCTGCACACACAGGCTTTCCTGACTTGGTGAGGAAACCCAAACCTCGTCGGCAAAATGGCAATGACTGCAGTGTGTTCTCGGGTGCACCCAGGGGCTCCCTTCTGTGAGCCTGCCCAGGTTATTCTCCTTCTGACCACTACTAGTGCTTCGTTTGGGTCTTTCTGTTGAGCGACTCTGCAAACTGCTCTACTCCCCAGGCCTGCTGCACTTTATTTGAACCATGGGTCTTTTTGTTCTTCTGGATGGTGGCTCTGGTGCGTGAGTTCAAGTTGCTAAAAGTTTTACGGTTGTGGTTCTAAGTGGATGCTCGTGACCTCCAGGTGAAGGCGTGACCACCGTCGAGTCACCTGTATTCATCGATACACCCTCATACAGTGGATCTGGGCACTCTTCAAAGAGAGAAACAGTTGTTTCATACCATCAAGCCTTAAAAAGCACACCCAGCAAACTACACAAGATACACTGGGTGCAGTCGCCATTGGACTCCTCGTATTTAGAAATGATATGGTGAACGTCTAGTTCAGCAAGTCATTAAGTCGTTCCGTAGTCGTGGGTAGTATTTCAGGAGACTAAAAGGACAACGATGATAATGAGGTTTGTTAACACAGCGGAAATACTGGAAACGTGTATGCGCTTTTTTGGTCTCTAGAGGTTAAAGGCAGTTTAAAAAAAATGTTTCTATTTTATTTCTGTTTTAATGTCATAGCATTTTTTTTTCTAATGAAACAAAATTCATTTGAAATAAATGACAGTCTTCATCTCCATTCCGAGGTCTGTGTTTTGTTCTTAGAGGGATTACTGACTCACGTCCTTGCCGTTGAAAGCCAACGAGTTTTCCAGAGATCAAAAAATGTCTTCATTATCAACTGGTTCTCTTGGCTAACTAGATGTACCGAATATTCTAAGTAGCCAGGTGGGTTTCAGGCAGGTTGAAACACCAGCCTGGTTACATCCCTTCCAGGAAGGGATAGAGTATTAGCTTATGCCCTAGGCTTGAACAAGTATTAAGTTGTTGAGGTTTTTGTTTTGTTTTTTTGAAAGGTGACTTAGCCCTGAACTAACAGGAAACATTTATCGCTACTACACTAAAACACTGTAGAACATTGGTTCTCAAAGCGTGGTCCCCGGACCCGCAGCATCAGCCTCACCTGGGAATTTGCCGGAACTGCAAATTCTTGTGTCCCTTCCCAGATCTACTGAATGAGAAACTGGTGGTGTGGACTAGGAATCTGTGTCTTAACAAACCCTTTGGGTGCTTCTGATACGGGCTAAAATCTGAGAACCAGGACCACAGTACATAAAGAACTAAGAGCTCATTAAGAAAAACAGGGAAAGCCCAGATAGAGAAATGGACTAGAGACCCGAATAGGTACCTCGCAAAAGAGAATATCTGAGTGACTGATAGCTGGAAGAGTGCTCGCTCTTATTAGTGACCAGAGAAATGCAAATTAAAGCGATGTTGAGCTAGCACTGGACATCCACTAGCATGGTTACAATTAAAAAGAAACCTATCGGGGTGCCTGAGTGGCTCAGTGGGTTGAAGCCTCTGCCTTCGGCTCAGGTCATGATTTCAGGGTCCTGGGATGGAGCCCCACATCGGGATCTCTGCTCAGCAGGGAGCCTGCTCCCCACCCCCAGCCTGCCTCTCTGCCTTTTTTTAAAAGATTTTTTTTCTGAGTCCACAGTCTCTCATGGTTCATCTCTCCCTCCGATTTCCCCCAATTCACTTTTCTTCTCCTAATGTCCTCCATGTTATTCCTTATGCTCCACAAGTAAGTGAAACCTTATGATAATTGACTCTCTCTGCTTGACTTATTTCACTCAGCACAATCTCCTCCAGTCCCATCCATGTCGATACAAAAGTTGGGTATTCATCCTTTCTGATGGAGGCATAATATTCCATTGTATATATGGACCATAACTTCTTTATTCATTCGTCTGTTGAAGGGCATTTTGGCTCTTTCCACAGTTTGGCAATTGTGGCCATTGCTGCTATGAACATTGGGGTACATATGGCCCTTTTTTTCACTACATCTGTATCTTTAGGGTAAATACCCAGTAGTGCAATTGCAGAGTCATAGGGTCTATTTTTAATTTCTTAAGGAATCTCTACACTGTTTATAAAGAATTCCTCAAACTCAACACTCAAAAAACAGATAATCACATCAAAAAATGGGCAGAAGACATGAACACTTCTCCAAAGAAGACATACAAATGGCTAACAGACACATCAAACTGAATATTTTTTAAAAGATTTTTTTTTAGAGAGAGTGTGAGCCCAGGGGATGGGGAGCAGGGAGTAAGAGAGGAAGAGGAAAAGAAAATCTCAAGCAGACTCCCCGCTGAGGATGTGGGGGACCCTCGCCCCCGCCGTGGTACTTGATACCACAACCCTGAGGTCATGACCTGAGCTGAAATCAAGACTTGGACACTTATCTGACTGAGTCACCCAGGTACCCCTCAAATTCAGTATTTTAAACAAAGTTTAACCATGTTCACACACAAAGTCTTTATTTCCATTTTGTGTTTTATTTGGGGGATTTAGAGACAATGTTATATATATATAACCAATAATTTTCAAACAAAACCCCCCCACCTCCAAGTATTGGAATCGTTTTTGATATCTGTTGCATTTCGGTTCTCTGGGACACAGACTCCAAGGTGGACTTTGTGTTGGTAATGTTTATTAGGGGTACCCTTGAGATCAGTGCTTGTAGAGTCACGAGGGAAGAAACAGGATACGGCAGAGGGAAAAATGAAGCTGGAATGCCGGCCGGGTGACCTTAGCTGACTCTTCCAGGGTTCCTGGAGCTCACATAGCCCGACAGAGTGTCCTGCTATGGGCTGATGGCCAGGCCTTTAAAGATACCCCTGCCTTGATTGGCTATTGCATATGGGATGCCCCCAGAAGGGCTGGTGACTGGACGTTGCCCACTAGCAGCATTTCCGGCAGCTGGAGCAATGTCCTTGAAGGGTCATCTGGGCAGAGTATCTCCGTGTTTACATGGCGTGTCACAGCTCTGGATGACAAGGAGAATGAAGGAGATGACAAGGGTGTGCTGGCAGAAAATGCTTGGTGATTGACATTTAAGTCAAAAGTACTGACCAAATGGTTGTTCTCAATGCCCTGGTCTAAAAAATAGAGGAGAGCATCCATGTAGGGCTCATAGGCCCATTCTCTAGGGTCAGCCCAGTTTTCGTCCCTTAACCAACTAAACCATCCAGGTGCTCTGGAAGAAATCTTCCTTTTAAACTTTATAATTCTGACATTTTAAGACGTAGCCTGCCTGGGCTGAGAGCCCGGGTTTGAAGTCACAGTCCCACAGATCTGCCTGCCGATTCTGTCTCTGCCACTTGCTAGCAAAATGGGTGACCAGGAGAATGTATTATCCAAAGTGGGACATTTTTGACTGAAAGCAAAGGGTCAACCAGCTAAGGTGCCTGAGCAATAAACTAGCACCATCCTCAACAAAAATGGGATATGTCACCCTCTAGCCACGCAGCCCTCCTTCCATGCATGGGTTTCTCAATCTCTTTCAACTTCAGTTGTTTCACCTGTAAAGTGAATCTATTTCCTGACCTTGCATAGTTGCTTTGGTTGGGACGATCACAGGGCCAAGAGCCCCCAAAGAGAAGGGATTGCATCATTGACCTTGGACAAGAAGAGGGTCCCCCTCTTCCACCAAGAGAAGAGAGCAAGATGGGTGTGGATGAAGGTGGGTCTGTAGACCATGGAAGGTATGTTTGAGGAGCTCCTCATCTGATGGTCTCTGCCAAACTGTTCTTTTTTTTTTTTTTTTTTTTTTTTAAAGTTTTTTTTTTTTTTTTTTTTTGAGAGAGAGAGAGGGAGAGAGAGCAAGCACAGGCAGACAGAATGGCAGGCAGAGGCAGAGGGAGAAGCAGGCTCCCTGATGAGCAAGGAGCCCGATGTGGGACTCGATCCCAGGACGCTGGGATCATGACCTGAGCCGAAGGCAGCTGCTTAACCAACTGAGCCACCCAGGCGTCCCTCTGCCAAACTGTTCTTACTACACATAGAGTTAAAAGGAAATAAGCACAAGTTCTGGAGACAGTCTTCTAGGTTCAAATACTGGCTCCTTCTGCGCATTGGCTATCTGGCTGTGGACAGGAGATCTACCACTTGCTTACCATGGGATCTTATGGTCAGGAAGGGCACTACACATCAATCCTTTATAAGATTGAGATCGGAATGGTGCTTTGCTCAGAGGGCTCTTGCAAAGTTTAAATGTGACTGTGACACAGTGTACGGTCTGTGGACTAGTGCCAGTCCACGAACAGTCTGCAA